ATCTGTAATAACTATGGATCTACTCTCTGAATTACTAGGGAGAATCCAACCTTGCTCTTTTCCTGCCTATTGGACAGTCCAAGTTCTCTGGTCTTTTTGCCCCCTGGGAAAGGGCTGCTCTTTCCTGTGACTCCTGACTACATTCCACAACACTAATTTAGGGAAACATGATTTATTTTGTCTCGGGTTTCGGAATCGGGTATAGTTAGAAAGCATACTTCAATCTGGACTTGTCTTCACTAACCACAAGTTTAAAAAACAATTTTTTATCAATATGGATGTCAGTGGAAATGATGGTTTGTTTAAAAACAAAAACAGATATCCTGATTGCCAAAGTAGAAGGTGAAGAGAGTAAAGTGCAAAAGTATGAGTCACATTGCAACTTATTCAAATGATTAAATGTACTTCTCTTCTGACACAACTCAACTGGAAAACTGAATTGAGGTGTTTGTAGATTATAACTATCAGGTGTATAGTATGTGCATTTATTATTTGGAGGCATATCCAACTCTAGGATATACGTGCTACCAGTATCTTCTTCATGGTCTTTTGAAAAAGTCTTCAAAAGTATCAGCTGAAAAATTTATTGATAGAAAGGAATTAACATTTAAAAAGTGGATCACTAAAGAAATATAGGGAATTAAGAAATGAATAGGATATATTTTATTGTTCAGAAAATACAACAATACTGGATTGCTATTAAAATGTTGAATACAATGCAGTTGGGGAAAGAGGATGAAAAAAAAATGTTGAGTACCTCTTCCACATAGCTGTGGCTGCACATGCTGGTGGATCAAATGCTCAGTAACATAAAAAATTAATAATCCTAAAGTTTCCCAGAAATTATGGCAGAAAAATATATCCATTTCTACAAAACATAAAATATAAACATCAAAAAGATTCTTGCTTATCTGGGTGTTGACTTTAGCAATAGACACATGGAAATAAAGCATATTTACACACCATTCAAAAGAAACAATCAAAAAGCTAAAGAAACAAAGTCCACATCCTCTTTAGTAGCCAACACCAAGATAAACATGGATTAATACCAGGCAAACAATAAAGCAGAAAACAATGCCCATATCAAGGAACTCCCAGGGAGCAAACTACAACCCTTCCAAAATTGGCAGGGCAAGCTACTGTATATAAATGGAAAGCAAATTCCGAACTCATTCACCTTGATGATGGTACCTAGTTGGATAATGAAACATCTCCAAGCAAACAACCAAGCTCAAAGAGCAGCAAGGATTCTTTAAAACACTTTAGCCAGAAAGTCTGTGAGCATGCTTGGCACCACCTTACCATAGTTAGAAGGAAAACAGATTTGCTAGAATATAATGATGCAACATTACATTAAAAGTCTGGTTAACCAGAGGTGAATAAGCTGAGTTTCCAAGGCTTTTCTCTGGTCCACAGATGCAATCTGAAAGTTGTGACCAAATGACAATCTTAATGCAACAAGAACAATTCTTAAATACATGTCTGGAAAATATAAGTAATATATTGAATCAAACTTAATTTTTTATCCTGACCCCATGCATTACTCTTTGGAATGTATCTCCATGGCATATCACCCAAAGACCAAATATAGTTCTTAGCTCACAAAAGTTTTGCCTCCTTCATGTAACATGTCTGTATTAATCCTTTCACTAAAACTCCCCAAACCCAAGAATGCGGTGTGATTTTAGTTTGGAAACATTCTTATAGCCCCATTTTCTTTGCACACCTCAGTCTCCCAGTTCTGGAGTGAATATAAGAACAAAGTACGAATTGTTCCCAAACAGTGTGTGAGAACTCAAGTCCACAGGTTTTCCAATTTGCCGAAGGGGGAGGAGGGGTGAGAAAAAAAATGATTACGTCATAGGGATATATAAATAAGAACTAGTCTTTATTCAGTAAAAGGAGGATTGAAGCAACAAATATTAACTTCCAAATAAAACATGAGGGAATTGAGTTCTGTTATTCCTGGTTCTTAAATAGTATACAGATCCAGGCATAAAATTGTAGATTTCAATTTTTAATTGCTGCTTTCCTGCTCAGAATTTGTCTTGTTCTTCCAATCTGTATCTTCAGAATTTCTCTTATTATTGCTCCAATCTTTTCCAGAATTCTGGGTAATTCAGCATTTCCATAAATTGAAAAAGATTGTGGCCTAGATATTTCAAAAAGTGCTGTGTTCCACAGGGCACTTCACACCTGCAGTTGCACAAACAAAGTCCATGTGCTAAAAATGACGTACAAAGATATGCTGTTGTTAGATTCCCCACCCCATCCAACTGAACTCTTCTATCTTGGCAACAAGGTTTAAGGATTATATTTATGCTAGATTTTCAGACTGTAGCTCAGCAGTCTATAATTTGATAATATGTGGGTATTAATATATTAATGATATCAGGAACTTAATTTGCTAATTTGCTGAGTTTTTTTTCTGTGAAATTAGCAAGGAACAATTGGACAACATGCCATTTTCTATCATTCTGTCATTTTCTTCTGTAGCATTCAGCAGTCGTGAAGGTAGCTATGAAGTGTCTGCTTTCATTAGGAGGGAAATAATTGATATTGTTGCATATATTGTTGCATATATATATATATTTACAATATGGTGATATTATTTATGAAATATGAATGGCCAGATAGAGATGTTTGTCAGCACTGTTTCTGGTGAGTAAACATAAATGCAGGAACAGATTTAACATTATATTCATGTTAAACTATTTACTGCTTTGGACAATCAGTGTAAAATTGAGTAGAGACCTCCGTCAGTATGGTCTTTGAGCAATGATAAGCTACAAGGGGAGGAAAAAATGCAAACTTTTCTGTGGGGTTTTTATTTCCAGAAGATAAATGCCACCAGCTCATCTGAAGGCAGTACTGTGGATGTTGCCCTGCCAGGAGAGGGGGAGCAGGCAGAGATTGAACCTGAAGAGGCTCTTGAGCCTGAAGCCTGTTTCACGGAAGGTAACAGGGTATTTCTGAGCCTGGCTTCCCAGGAACTGCCATTTTGTGAATGGGCTGGCTTCTAAGCATTAGCAGTCAGCTTTCATTCTCACCATTATGTGGCATTGGTCCTTTGTCAATAACTTACAGATACGTTGCTTGGTTTTCTCAAAAAGGATAGGCCAACTTAAGGCCAATCTTTATATATTTAGCTGAGGTTTTAAAGGACCTTGCAGAGTGCTCTGTAAGGATTTTTAGAAGATTTTAAGCTGGGATTTTAACCAGGATTTTAAATATTTTAACCAACTTATTTATAATGACATGGGAAAACACCCGAGATTTTAATTTTTTGCATATGCACACCCGCGAAAATTTAAGAAGACAAATATATATATATATATATTAAGGCCAATCTCTATATATATATCCTAAAATGGCTTTAGAAACTGTTACCAAGCACCGAAAAAGTCAGCTTTTGCCTAATTCTATTCATGCCCATTTGCTCATCTCTTTAAATCCATTCAGATGTTTCTTCCTCCACAGGGAAAAAAGGAACTATTTTCCATGAATCTGAAAGTAACTTAGAAGAGAAACGTAGGAGAGAAATTGTATGAAAGAAAAGTGAAGTACCTCCCCAAACAGCTCCCCCCCCCCCCGTTCCACCAAACCCTCTTTTCAGAAGAATAAACACTTTCTTGAAAGAAGAAAACAAAAATAAATTAGTGGTCATATACCAGCACCCCAAAATCTGGGCATATGCAGTATTTTTTTTAAATGTCTGGGTGTATTTTCTCAAATGCAATCTCTCCCTGGAATGTCATCTTCTGCTTCCAAAAACATTTTTGGAATCATTTTGTGAAAAATTGAAATCCAGAAGCCAAAGCCTGTCTAAGATACTTTGCTAACTGAGAGAAAGAAAAAAATGATGCCCTATCCATCTTCCATAGTAAGAAACCGACTGGATGGACAGAATAGGTTTATTTCAATATTGCCAATCATCATCATACTTGAGGCCATTAAGGGATGCATAACACACACAGTTTGCCCTCTAACAAAAATAAATCACTGGGGAATCAGAAGCAGCAGCTATGTTCCTCTTTGTTTCCAGAACCTCAGAGATCCAGGGTGGAATATTAACTTGAGCATCCTCCATTCCCCAAATGCTTTTCTCATTGTGTCCTGTGTCAGTAATTGATCTCTCCTCTTTTTAAACTTTTAAATCCAGTGGTTCATTGGACAGGAGCGTGTGAGTACTAGATACTACAGGTAGTCCTTGACTTACAACAGTTCCTTTAGTGAGTATTCAAAGTTACACTGAAAAAAGTGACGTATGATCATTTTTCAGACTTAACTGTTGTAGCATCCTCATGGTCATGTGATCAAAATTCGGCAGTTTGGCAACCGACTCATATTTATACAGTGGCAATGTACCCGGGATATGTGCAACCTTCTGACAAGCAAAGTCGACGGGGAAGCCAGGTTCACTTAACATCCGTGTTGCCAACTTCATAACTTTAGTAATTCACTTAAGAACTGTGGCAAGAAAAGTTGTCAAATGGGGCCAAACTCACTTAATAAATGTCTCGCTTAGCAACATAAATTTTGGGCTCAATTGTGTTTATAAGTTGAGGACTACCTGTATACCAAAATGTTAAAATAAGTCTTAAATAATATTTTAACAGATGAGATTTTGGTTTTAAAAGTCTGGAATGAAAAAGTCTTCCAGTCTTCTGAAAGGACATGGTTTCTTTAAATCCTGGCTAACATATAACCACAGGAATAACTCCAGTATCGGAAAATTTATACATCCTGCTGGATGCATTTTATCCATAGGACAAAAGCCCAGGTATTTTCCTTAGCTAAACAGAGCTGTACTAAGTCAGGTTTTTCTTCTCTCTGAGGAAGAATGAATTCCATCATTTACTTAATACTTCCGGAAATGTTGATACACCTATTCAGGTTATGCTAACTTCAGAGGGATATTACAAGATTAAATACCATGTATAAAAGTTACACTCTTTGGAGAAAAGACAGTTTTTTTTAAAAAAAAATAAGAAAGTATCTGTCAGTAACATTTTTACTATTGTTATAACAGGCTGCATCCAAAAGTTCCCATGTTGTCAAGTGAGTATAGAAGATGGCAAAGGAAAATTCTGGTGGAATTTTAGAAAAACCTGCTACAGCATTGTTGAACATAACTGGTTTGAAACATTCATTGTATTTATGATTCTCCTCAGCAGTGGTGCTCTGGTGAGAAAAAAGAAAAAGAAAATTAAATATTCTTCTCAAAATGTTAATGGTATCAATGTTTTTAGAAATCTTGTTTTCTGACAAGATTTTTAGTGATGTTGCATAGACTGTATTTTCAGATCTGAAAGCTTTAGTTAATTAATAAAACCATGGAAAGACAATTGAGATTTTTATGTTAAAAAAGAAAGTGAAAGAGAAGATTAGAAAAATAAACATTTTGCAGTTTGCTATTTTTTTTTAAGTGTTATTGGAAGATGATTTTTTTGCCTTTTTCCTCCATTTTAAAATATGATTGGTGAATGATGAAAGCCACACATCTCTTTTCAGGCCTTTGAAGACATATATATTGAACAGCGTAAGACTATCAAGACAATGCTGGAATATTCAGACAAGGTCTTCACATACATTTTCATTCTGGAAATGCTTTTGAAATGGGTGGCCTATGGCTTCCAAATTTATTTCACAAATGCCTGGTGTTGGCTGGATTTTTTAATTGTTGATGTAAGTATTGAAAAATCATAGTTTGCTTTGTAGATATATTATCTAGCATCTTTCTTCTAAGAACATCCTGATAAGTTAAAAGGAACTGAAATAGAACACTGGTGTTCCATTAATAACAGGCTATTCTGGAAATACTATTAACATTCTGATTAGCATAAAGCAAATTTTTGGAGCAACAAGTTGATCATAATTTTCTCTTTTAATTCATATATGCACATCTATATTGGTGCGTTTTAAAATATTATAGCGTTCTAACTTCTCTAGATGTTCTCTTCAACATGATGTCCCTCTAAATCAGAGGTCCTCAAACTTGGCAGCTTTAAGACTTGTGGACTTCAACTCCCAGAATTCTCCAGCCAGCTGGCGGGAGAATTCTGGGAGTTGAAGTCCACAAGTCTTAAAGCTGCCAAGTTTGAAGACCTCTGCTCTAAATGATATTCAACTTCAGCAGTTGAAAGGCACCACGCTGAAGAAGAATGATCTGGACAGTAAATATCTATCTGGATCTACATGAATACTACTGTATTGTGGTTGTTTAATATTTGTTTTGATTTATAGTCATATTTCTGGCTCGGTATTAAGTGTGAATGAGACCACTGTAGCTTATTTAAGAAACTATGGCTAAAAGTTCAGTATGTGAATCCAAACACTCTATTAGAGAACAATTACATCCCTCAGCTTTTGTACTGCATCTCTTTCTGTGTTTTTCTTTTTGATATTGACAGCTCAAGTACTTTAAATGTGAAGCATTAGACAGCCTTCTATTCTTTGTTGCTTATCATATAATTTCATATGACAGATCTGTGCAACTTGTGACGTGCCAATTCCTTCTTTCAGTCCTCCTAAGACCAATAAAATCTTGCAAAAATAGATAATTGTAAAAACTAAACATACTGTAATTATATAAATTTTACTGTGTACAGGTAGTTCTTGACTTACAACGGTTCATTTAAGTTACAACTACACTGAAAAAAGTGACTTATGATCAGTTTTCATACTTACGACCCAATGGTAATGTTATCAAAATTAGACACTTGGCAACTGACTCACATTTCTGTGTCCTGGGGTCACGTGATCCCCTTTTGCAACCTTCCGACAAGCAAAGTCAATGGAGAAGCCAAATGCACTTAACAACAGTACAACTAAATTTCAGTGATTCACTTAACAACTATGGTGGCCATTTCTAGCCTCCAGAGGGCCTCCGGGGGCGGGGGGGTGAGGAAGGCCGTTTCCACCCTTCCCAGACTCCTAGAAAGAATCTGGAGGCTGGGGAGAGCAAAAAACAGGCCTTCTGGTCCCACCAGAAGTTGGGAAACAGGCCATTTCCAGCCTCCGGAGGGCCTCCGGGGAGGTGGGGAAGGCCGTTTTCGCCATCCCCAGACTCCTAGAAAGGCTCTGGAGCCTGGGGAGAGAGAAAAATGGGCCTTCCCCACCACCACCCCCAAGGCCCTCCGGAGGCAGGAAACAGCCCGAAAATCAGCTGGCTGGTGCGTGTATGCACGCTGGAGCTGAGCTCACATGCCCACCGATATGGCTATGTATGCCACCTGTGGCACATGTGCCAAAGGTTTGCCATCACGGTCAGGGGTGGATTCTACTTACTTTTACTACCAGTTTGCAGCAGGGCCGCACGCACACTCTCTTTTGTGCAAGCGCAGAAGCTTCTGTGCATGCGCAGAAGCGTTTTGATGACTTCGGGGTCGGTGGGCGGAGCCTCCTGCCGGTTTACTACCAGTTCTATAGAACCGGTGCGAACCGGGGGCAACCCACCACTGATCACCGTCCTAGAATATAGCTATCAGGTCTTCCTGTACTTTCAGAATGCCATACGGCTAATGTATGAGAAATAATAGATGTTCTTGATTCTGCCTTACCACAATGAAAGTGATATGTTGTTTTGGATAATATTCTCTGATGTCTTGTTTACACATGCTGTCAAGATGGGATGTTGATACATAGCTGAATTAATTGACAGACAATGCTAATTATATTAACTCTTTGAAAGACATGGAGAGACCCAAACTGCTTCCAACTAGTGACAGCCATAGAAAAATTTAAAACACAGGAACATCAAATAGACTCACAAAAAAAGAGAGTACGGAATAACATGAATGCTTTCAGAATTAAAAAAAAATAGCAGGTGTCTCAGTTTGTGGAATCCCTTTTAGCTTGTAAAGTTGACTGAAGAAATAATTAACTGGATCTGTTGAATTAAGCCATAATGCTAAGCCTTTGTTATTCTGAGAAGTGTCACCCTGAGAGTTCTGCTAGTATCCCAGTTTTTCTTTTTCAACCTACCCAAAGTATGTGCTTGATTTGAAAAACAGTCATGACTTCAAAGAAGAATCTAAATCTCTAATTTTAAAAGATAAGCTTAGTTGTCACACTGAGATAGTCTTAAAGTTTGGAAGATCAATACCATCTAATTTCCTCTCTACTTCTCATTTTGCATGAGAATGTTCTTTTCCTCATTTTGGTTAACTAACATTAAATGAGTTATAACAATATTTAAATTTAATATTTGCTCTCAGTTTTATATCTTTCCATTCTCCCCAATGCTACTTTCTTGTTTTCTATCTCATTCTGTGGCAAAAGAAAAGTGAACTCAAGGCAATAAATAATGTTTATATTATCCAAGAAGAAATCCACAGTTTTGAAGGAAACATGAGGAAATCTGACATTCCTGCCTCTCTGTTTAAAAGTTCTTTATGCCTCCTTCTGGAATTTATTTTAAGAATGAATTGACTAGATTAAAAATTGGTGAAAGATGTGTGTATATGCATGCAAAGAAACACACATACATATATACACATAAAGTGTGCACGTGCACCATATATACAGAATAACTAATTTCCTTTTATTATATTTTTATATTTGATCTTGAAAGTGAAATATGGTCTACCTAGTTTGAAAGGGCTAATGTAACCTAAAATAAATGAAGAAGATTATCAAAGAGAGATTCAACTTAGAATTAAGGAGAAATTTCCTGGAGAACAATTAATAAATGGAACAACTTGTCTCCAAGGTCCCTTACAACTTTGTTATTCTGTATTAGTTTTCCTTCCTAACTCCTGTTGATATAGGAATTAGAGAAATTTACTTCATGCATGAAATTGGATGGGTGAAGGAGATAATGCCAGGACCTCCAAATATCTCTTTGTAAATATTTCCACATTCTATAGCAAGAAGTTCTTGTGCTAGTGTTTTTGGTCAAAAAAACACTGTGCAATTATTTCATCTTTCCTCCTTACTAGAAAGAGTATCATTAAGAATTAAAAATGGAGGAAAATGTTTTAACCTCTCCAAAAATTGTCTTTCTGAGTAAGGGCAATAATAGAAGTCTTGAAGTATGTGGGGGAAAAGTGAAAAAAGTGTGTGTGTGTGTGGGGGGGGAATGTGAAGGTGCAAAAAAAGAAAAAATTAAGGCAAAAGAAGGTACCGATAGCACATGTATTAGTGCTATTTTGTTCAAGTAGGCATAACTAGATGTATCAACCCTTTGAGGTAGTCCAGAGCAGGACACCAAAATGATGAATACTACTTTTATTATAAGGTTATAAAAGCAGAATTTTGTAGGAGCTTTCCCTTTCCCTGCCTTTATGCTCCAGAGAACTTGGAAGGGTCAAGCATTCTCAAAATACATTTCTGGTTTGGGCTCAGATTTCTCTTATCTGAAGAATGTCTAGGCTACAGCTCTTCCTCTTCCTCAAGGTTATTCTCCACATCGATTACACCAGTTATGAGATGATAGTGTGTGTGTGTGTGTGTGTGTGTGTGTGTGTGACAAGTTTAGGAAGGCTGGGTTAGGCTTTCTACCTCTAATGTTAGAGACCCTCCTTTAGCAGTGTGGAAAAGAAATCAAAAGGAACAATATAAACATAATTGTAATGTATGCAGTTGCAATAACATGTAGAAATTATTTGGCGGTAAGCAATAGTTCATTGGCCACTCTTTATTTGAGCCAATTTCAATTAATAAAAAATGGCAGATGTAGGAGAAAAGTGGTCCTGATCAAGACTAAAAGGAAAGAACAAAAGATTAAACCCTTCCTGATCTTATGCCAGAAACCTGTTCCAAATGTTTACTTTTGAAAAAAAAGAAGAAAAAAAGAAAAAAACAGATGCGTATGTAAAGCAATAAATACCTTAATTACTTTATTTTTTCTCACAGAAGTCCTTCAGCCTCATCCTCAGATTCTTAAAGCAGTTTTCCAGGAAACAACAATTCCTACTGAACATGACCTGAACAGAACATTCAACAGTGGTTGCACTGATTCTTATAACTTTACTGCAGATAAAGGAATCAGTTTCTCAGCAACTGTAATAGAAGTATCAGGAAATAATATTAATATACCTCTAATTGTCTGTACCAATTAAAACTATAAATGGAACTATCTTTTTCAGTAGAGGAAGGGAAGGTTCAAAAGAAAAATACATCTTTACATGCAAAAAAAAAGCATGTTATTTTTATTAGGCTTCAGTACTGAAAAAAAATTCATGTGAACCAAAATGATTGTTCTATAATCTTTATGGTCAGAGTTGATGCTAAGAACTTGGCTTGGAGGTACACTTTACGTACACTTTAAGTCAGATCTGTTCTGAAGGCAAGCATTTAAGTGTAAGAAAGGGGTTGTTATCAGGCATATATACAGCAATAAGAAACACTTAAGAGTCTGGCTTGGTGGAACATAGTCTATGGGAATTTCATTTCAGTTTTGTGTCCTTGGCCCATCCATTCCAGGCAACATAAAAGCCCAGTTGGGGCCTATAGAATTTCACTCAAAATACATTCTATGAATATCTGAACTTTCTTTTTTCTCTTTTTTTTCTTTTGTTACAGGTTTCATTGGTCAGTTTAATAGCCAATGCACTAGGCTATTCTGAATTAGGGGCCATTAAATCACTTCGAACACTAAGAGCATTGAGGCCTTTAAGAGCTCTGTCACGTTTTGAAGGAATGAGGGTGAGATGTTAAGAAACGAACCTGAAATTAATATTTTCATGAAATAAATCTGTTTCTGCAATATAAGCAGTGATGTTTCAGAGCAGAAGTGTTGAGCTTTTTTCACTACTGTTTCATGTCATGGTCATAAGCACTTCCAAAATATTTTTTTTTAACAAAATTTCTACCACCTTCTTTGAGATATCGCCCATAAATTGTTTAAGCCATTTTAGTGCTTCCATGATTAACATTATGTTGTGTTTCAAGTATTAGGACATTCTTCAAGTGTTAGGGATAGATGTACATGTATGTGAACATCAGTATAGATAGCTACAATACCTGTATTTTGAATCACAAATATATATTTTTTAAAACTCTCAAGATATTTATGTTGTATACACAGAAAATTAAAATTTTGAAGTTTTGATTATCCAAGCTAAGAAATATTGAAATCTAAAAGAAATATCTGTTGAGGGATTCCATCCTAGCCTAAGGTTCTAGTACAGTGTTTCTCAACCTTGGTAGCTTGAAGATGAGTGGACTTCAACTCCCAGCGTTGCTGGCTGGGGGATTCTGGGAGTTGAAGTCCACCCATCTTCAAGCTTCCAAGGTTGAGAAACACTGTTCTAGTAGATCAGCCAAATCTTTAAGTCCCTCTGGAACTCCATTGGGTGGAAGCTACCCAGATCTCAGGAAACCTGATTCCAGAGAACAGGTACTGCAACAGAGAAGGTACACTTCCTGGTCTCCATAGATAACACCATTTGATCAAAGGAACCCAGAGCATGCAAACCAAGTCGGCTGATATCAGCCAGGCAGACACATAATAGACAGGTGGCCCCTCAAATAACCAGACCCTATGCCATATATGCCTTTGTAAGTCAATTACATCCAGCAATTGAAGCTTCCAAGTGGTTTTTAAGAGACCAAAGTACAATGTACTAGTCAAGCTATAAGGTGACTGTTTCGAGGGCCCTCTGATCCAGGAAAAGATGCAATTGTGCACCAGATGGACCTGTGCAAAGACCTTCCTGATCACAGTTGCCGTCTGCTTTTGAACAGAAGCTATGAGTCTATGAAGACCCCAAGACGGGCTGCATTTAAACAAATGGTCATTCATCTCTCCCTAAATTGTTAGTTTGAGCTATATTGATTGTTATCTTTTCTTGCCTCTTTATTGATTTCTTGAAGTCTGTGGCTTCATATATTTTGCATATTTATGTTCTTGTTCTAGCCATTACTTATCAGACATATACGTACTTTTTATCAGTTATGTTCTTGGTATGTAACCTTTTTCTTTCTTTTTTTTTTCTCCTCAGTGCACGCAAATGTTATGATTCCATCTTACCAGGTTTTCATTTTTGTTTTTACTTTCTGTAGCATTTAGTTTCTGTTTTGCCTTTTGGGTGGGAGGGTAAACTTTAGCTTTCCTACTTTGACATGTGTATTATTTTCCATACAGTCTCTGCATATAAACAGCTTCACTTGCAAAAAAAAATAATCTAGGCCTTCTTCCCCTCCTCCCTCCCTTTTTTCCCCTCTTCAATATGTACCTTAGGTGGTTGTTAATGCCCTTGTTGGAGCAATTCCCTCCATTATGAATGTGCTTCTGGTTTGTCTCATATTTTGGCTGATCTTTAGTATTATGGGTGTGAATCTCTTTGCTGGCAAGTTCTACCATTGCGTTAATACCACAACGGGTGAAATGTTCAACATCAGTGATGTCAACAATAAAACGGAATGCGAAGAGCTAATACACAACAATCAGCAAGCCCGATGGAAAAATGTGAAAGTTAACTTTGATAACGTTGGGGCTGGTTATCTTGCTCTGCTTCAAGTTGTAAGTAATTTTCTTTCTACCCAACTGCCTATAAGAATAACCATGGAAATAATCTAAGTTCATTACTTTCATTCTAAAGCTCCACATAAGTTCCAGTGATACTTGCTTGAATCAAGCTCCAGCATCAAAAGAGTTGCCTTTGGTGAGATGGGTGACTATATATAGTAAATTTAATAAATAGAAATAAATAAAAGTAGTAGCGAAGCTGTTGGACTACTACTTTGTTGTTCCATGTTCACACTGGAATTTCTACAAGTAAAAAAAATATATCCTGATTTAAACATGATCGAACTTTTTGATGATGATGTTCTCTAGATGCCACTCCATTGGATATAAGGCTTATTATAAGAAAGGAGAAGTATTATATTGTTGTCAATCTAGTGAAATTCCCTTCCTGGGAGGTTTACTTGTAGAAGTAAAAGGCCAGGTTAGAATCAAAAGGAGTAGAATGATATATTGTAAGCCATTTTTTTGAAATGATACAGTTCTGTGTCAATATTGCAAGTATCTTTAGTGACTCCCAAAGGAAATGCAACAATGACAAAATTCCAGTGGATCATGATGGTGGGATCCATATAGCTTTCAACCATTATTAGCAAACTCCACTGATAAGATGGTTCTGGGCTGCTGTGTAGCGACAATATTCTCTTTCTACAAGGAAAGACTTAAGGAAAAATGGAGTTAATACAATAGGATTGGAAATGTCCAATCATTATTCTTGATTAATTTATTACTAAGAAGAGATTGAGATCAAATACACAGCATAAAGGTTCATTGATATTACCATTTATTTGGTGATCCATCCACACTTCTCATCTCCAAAACTTATTCTGTTATGCTGAATATTACTACAACTCCCTTGATAGCTCTTCCTGTGGTAGTGAAGAGTGTTCTTAATTTTATTCTCACAACTACAATACCTTTTTAGATAGGTTGGGGCTGGGCAAAGAGAATATCCACTAAGAGCTCTGTGGCTGAGAGAGACTTGATTTCCCCTGTCCTGATCCAGTAATTCCATCACTACATAATATATATATATTCAGTAAAAAATAATAAACCCATCAGTAGAGTGCACTAGTACAGGTGCACCTATTCTTATTGTTAGCCAAACTCAGGAAGTAAATGCACCTTTGAGGGCATTTTTAATTTTTCTTTGCATTAGTTCCAGTCCAGTATTATTGTATCAGCTCACATCTTCTTCTGTAACATATCAAGATACAAAACTAGGCTGTAAAGTACTGACTCAACTCCGCTATTAAATAAGTATAAATCCTTCCATTCCCCACCATCCAGTCAGAGCTGAAAAGGCTTCTTAGATGAGAAGGGAAACATCTTCAAAGAAAAACCAGAAAGTCTATTGCCTCTTGAAAAAGCACCTTTGGGACAACCATGACCTGGATGACTGAGAATCTCCTTAGACACTCCTCTATTAAATGTTTACATCAATATTTCCTGCATTTATGTGGCAAAAATAAAGTCACTACTTTTAATGCTTTGGATTATTGGATTTAGACTTCAGAATTCCAGGTGGGCTGCAAAAATTAATAGGACCACTAGATAGCAGCATAGAAATCCAGAAACCCCTAATTCTTTGCTGCCCCTCAAGTCCAATTTGGATTGTTACAGCTTACATTTGACAATCTTGCACACTGCGAGGTGTGCACAGAAGTAGGAAAAATGTTTTATTTCTGGAACAAACCATCCTGATGAATCTGTTGAATCTTTCCAGATGAATTGTGGTTCCAAAAAACGTGAATGTTTTGGTTGTTCCAGGCTTCAAGATGAAATCTGGGGTTGATGAAGAGGACAAAGACTTCACCCGTTTCTGCCCTCCTTCCCCATGCAACATATTCATTGGCCCTTCTATCATCTTCCTAGCAGTTTCCTTCACTCTGTCCTGTTAGCTGCCTCCAGTGTATTATACCCTATCAGCTTGTTAGTCCCTGATCTTCCTAGCATCTTCTTACTTTCCCTTCAACCACTGCCAATGTCCCAGCATATATTCCATAGGATGTACATATATTCCACAGAAGTGCCCACAAGCAGCTGCCTATTCATCAACTTTGCAGTGCTTTTCTTCTCCTTATAGCTGCCTTATAGCTGTATCTTGGCTTTATCCTAGTTCCCCACACCTTTGTACTTCTGCCCTGACTAAAACAGCAGAAACATTCACATTTTGAATCATGCACCTTCCTAATTTCCTCATGACTAACTTACATTCCACTGAATTCAACAGGACTTTTTAAAGTAAGATTTTAAATCTGTTGCACGTCTGTATCTCTTTCACTCTTTCACTGAACTTTCACTCATTCTGATTCTATTTAGGCTACTTTTAAAGGATGGATGGATATTATGTATGCAGCTGTTGATTCACGGGATGTAAGTAGCATTTCATATTCTATTAAACACAGAGACATGCTTTTGCTTCATTACTGTCTATGTTGTATTTTATAATCCATAGTTTTTCCTTTGCTAAAAATGATATTTGTTAATAAAGCATTTCTGAGTTCCTGTAATAGATAAAAAAAAAGTGTCA